TCAACTTTTAAGTGATTGGATACATTTTTTCGAGCTGACTGTAGGCAAATCGCTTGAGTGAACAATCCTACGCTCGAGCGAACAATTCAAATTCCCAGACCGCTCAAGCGAACAAATGTATCCTCGAGCAAACAATTCTAACTCTTAGAATCTCTCTCCTCTCTGCAAAAAGACCGCTTGAGCAATGAAGTCTTCCCTCAAGCGAAAAATGAACACTCACAATATTTCAGACTTCAGAACAAAGTACTAGGAGGACGATGTTACTGCTCGAGAGACAAAAATACCACTCGAACAGTCTCAACACAGAAGTAAGACAACAATAACCTTAATGAAATTTTCCACCGTTTTCAGATTCATTCCAACACCCAAATAGATAGAGTTTAAATAAAAAAATAAAAAAATAAACATTTAAGAAAAAAAAATAGGCTTATGAAATTCAACAGATAGGGGAGAATATGCTTGAATTTCAACAGATAGAAAAAATTAGAAAAAGAATTTCAACAGATAAGAAAAAATATGACAAGAATTTGAACCAATGGAATTTCACACAGATAGATTTTCAAAATTTCAACAGATAGAATAAAAAAATTTCGACAGATAGAATGGTAAAATTGGAAACAAAATGTTCTTAAAAACAATAAAAGGATTTTTCAGCAAACTATTTCACAAAGTATGGACTTCTTACCAACAAAAAATATTCATTGAACCTAATGCCTTCGGCAATTGTTAGTTTGGACTTTTCAACAATTTTCTCTAAATTATTAGTTTATTGGGAATGAATGATTAAGAAATCATTTGAGAATAATAAACAATTCAAACAATTTCTCATTTCTTACACCTAAAATTAAAATTAATCTTTACTTGAATGGAAAAATTATTTGAGAATAATAGAATACTCAATTAATTTGTTATGAATGATACTTAAAATCTATTTCTCCATCTTTATTTATCTCATTTAAAATATTTTTATTAAATTAGATATTAAAATTTATTTCTCACTTTCATTAATGGTTGAATTTTTATTTTATTTTATTTTTTATTTATAAAAGTTCAAAAATTTCTTGTGAAAAAAAAATAGAGCCAAGAAATTAAATTTATGATTTAAAAAAACTATGAAAAATAAATAATTATTCCATATATATTTAATAGGGTAAATTAAATTACATTTATATATTTTTTTTCTTTAGAAAGTGTTTTATTTCGTTGTGTGTTTAAATTAGTATTAGAGTCTGATTTCTTCATCTTTTCAATAACATTATATGAATATTAGATATACGGAAGAAATAAGATTAGATAATTTAAATAATAACACTTCGCCATAAATAATTATAGAACAAAATAAAGGTGAGAAATTAAAAAATAAAGTAAAAATTCAACCATTAATGAAGGTGAGAAATTAATTTTAAGATTTAGTTTAATAATAATAGTTTAAATGAGAAAAATAAAGATGGAGAAATATATTTTAAGTATTATACAACAAATTAATTGAGTATTTTAATATTCTAAAATAATTTCTCCATTCAAGTAAAAATTAATTTTATTTTTAGGTATAATAAATAAGAAATTGTTTGAATTGTTTATTATTCTCAAATGATTTCTTAATCTTTCATTCCCTATTAACTAATTTTAATTTAGAGAAAATTGTTGAAAAGTCCAAACTAACAATTGACTAAGGTATTAGGTCCAGTGAATATTTTTTGTTGATGAAAAATTCACACTTCGTGAAATAATTTGCTGAAAAATCCTTTTGTTGTTTTTTAAGAACATTTTGTTTCCAATTTTACTCTTTTATCTATTGAATTTTTTTTATGCTATCTGTTGATTTTTTTTATCTATTGAATTTTTTTTTATTCTATCTGTTGAAATTTTGATTTTATCTATTGAAAATCTATCTGTGTGAAATTCTATTAACTAAGGGGGCAATATGGTCATTTTGGATAGAAAAGTAATGGCATTTCTGCTAAATTAACAAATTGACATAATGTAAAGAACAATTTGTATTTTAAACAAATAATGTAATTTTCAGAAATATAAAGAACAATTTGTATTTTAAACAAACATTGAGAAATGTATTTGTAATTTAATTATGAATTTGAAAATTTTGGCTAAAACCCCTTAGGTCCAACATCTTAATGTGAAAAGGACAGTCCTATTTTTATTTTTATTTTTATATATATAAATATATATCTTCTAAACCCCCTCAAACAATCCCGTTTCTTTCTAGAAGGACATTTTTTTTCAAATTTTTTTTTAGACGATCTTACCCTTGATATATATATATATAGAGAGAGAGAGTATAAATCCCAGTGGACATGTAAAATCACAGAGCAAAAAAGTCTCTCTGTTTTCCCTCAACGAGCTTCGATTCACAATCCGCAATTTTTTCTACTACTTCATTCCTACTTACAACGTTCCAATTCGGTGGTTCTTATATCATTTCTTCATTTTCAATTTTTGAATTTTTATTGGGTTCTCGCATGTGTTAAGAGACAAATTAAAGAAAGTTAAAGACATGACATGAGTGATCTATTCGCATGGCTATTATTCTTTTTCCTCATAGTTCTCATTTTTATTGTTGTTTACCAACTCATGTGCTTGGCTGATTTGGAGTTCGATTACATCAAAACATATGACTCTACATCTTTGATAAATAATGTGGTTCTGCCATAATTTATTACTCAAGGAGTCTTGTGCTTTATTTATTTAATAAATCGGCATTGGTTTATGTCACTGTTGAGTGTTCCATACCTATACTACAATGTGAGATTGTAAGTCTTGTGCTTCCTCTTCGTAGGTTTTTTTTTCGTTTTTGTTGTCGATACTCTGTTCAAAACAGACAGTAAAATATTGCTATTAACATAGAGTAACATTTTACTATAAAAAAGAGTAACATGTTACTGTGAAATATGTTATTGTCAAACAAAATAACATGTTATTGTTTATGTCAATTTCGACAGTAATTTTTTTTTGTTTTGTTTAAGAATTTCATAGTTAACATGAATCTTATTTGATAGATCTTGATGAGAGAATCATAAAAATATTAATTTTATTAAAAATTGACATCTAAATCAAAAGTTATATCATTTTAAGGTTTAAAATATTAAATTACTTAGGATATTTTGGTAACAACAATGTATGCTAGACTTTTTAAGAATTTTTTTTTTTGTAACAGTTAAAGTTTTATAGTGAGAGGATTTTGATCAAATCTCCCTATGAATTTAGTATTAATTCTAACCAAACTAATCGATGCACATCTCTAGTTAAGATTATTGTAATTGGTACGAGTCACTCCAACAACTACTAAGAAATTTGAATTCAACAACCTCTTATTTATCAAATTAATTGAGGGTTAACCCTTAGTCACCATCAAGTACCATTGAGTAGAGATGAACATAAGCAGGGTTCAAGTCTAATCTTATCATGTGAAGGCCGACCACTTAACTTGGTATAGGAACTAATAATTATTTTATTTTTTTTTGTCTTAAAAGTAAAATTTTATCATTTTTAATTTGATTCTACAATTTGATTTGATTTTATTTATCATTTTCTTCCAACGATTCCTTTTAAAATTATGATTTTAACAATCTTCATTACTAGGGGACTATTTGCTATGATATAAAAAAGTAGGGAAAATTATGCAAATAGTCCCTATAGTTTACACGATGTATCAATTTGGTTCTTGTAGTTTCAATTTGCTTGATTTTGCCTCTTAATTTAACGAATTGTGTCATTTTAGTCCAATAAATAACGGTTGTTAAGTTAATTTAACAAAAAGTCTAACACTGTGTCAATTTGGTTCCTGTATTTTTCACAATGTGTCAATTTAGTCCCTCTCAAAATCGAGAAAATTAGAACTATAGGGATCAAATTGACACATCGTGTAAAGTACAAGGGCCAAATTGACACATTGTTTGACCTTCTGTTAAATTAAGGGGTAAAATTGAGCAAATTGAAACTACAAGGACTAAATTGACATATCGTGTAAACTACATGGACTATTTGCATAATTTACCCTAAAAAATATATTTTTAGGAGACTTACGTGTAAGTCCGAATAAGTGAACTTATTGTTCAATAGATCCTGTGAGAATTAATGTTTTTTATTTTTATTTTTATCAAACACTATTAAAAAACGTCAATAATTGTTAATTTTCAACGACATTTTTGAAAATCTTGTCACAAAAAATATCACTAATTATAAGTTTTAACAACAATTTTAAAAAATTGTCACAAAAAAATCAATAATTTTCAACTTTCAATGACAGTTTGAAAAATTCATCACAGAAAAAGTCACTAATTGTAAGTTTTAGCGATAATTTATAAAAATCGTGATAAAAAAAGTCGTTAATTGTCAATTTTTAGCGACATATGCAAAAAAAATTGTCACAAAATTATCATTTTAAGCAACAATTTTACTAGGAGTTATTTTTAATAAAACTTGATGGGAATTAAGTCAAACTATTAAGACCTATTAGTAATTTTTCCTATATTTTTTTTTATCTTTTTTGAGTCACATTACTTCTTTACTTTTCTGCATATCTTTTTATAAAAAGTCAAAAAATACGCTTATTTAGATCATCCCAAATACTCTCTAGGGCGGTGACCATTCCTACCATTGGGCCCTATTTGGCTGATTATTTGCTGATATGTGACAAAAAAAAAAAAAAAAAAATTGTTCTTGCTTTTGCTTTCTTTTATAAAGAAATTACAATTAGTGCATGTTTTTAAAATAAATTTTAAATTAGTAAAATTTATCAATTTTAATAATTGGGAGGTTACTGTAATTATTCAAACCACAGGGGAGGTCCCTGTATTTGTCAGAAACCTCAGGGGAGGTAAATGTAATTTACCCTAAATTTTTTTAATTTAATTTTTTTTTATATTTAAATTTTAAATCCCGAGTTTAGCCGCAGTAAACCTTCTCGCTTTCTTTGAAGAAATTCGTACAAAGAAAATTGGTTGTTTATCTGTACCAAATTGCTTGCAAACAACGCACACAGAGATCCTAGTTTCTACTTGTGTTTTCAATTTCCCAATTTTATCTCTCTGTGCTAATTCCTTATACCAAACAGTTAAACAATGGCTTCCTCCTCTGTTCCATCTTCATCTCGACCTCAATACACATACGATGTGTTCTTGAGCTTTAGAGGCGAAGACACTCGCGATAACATCGTCAGTCATTTCTACACTTTGTTGGCTCAGAAGGGGATTAACACCTTCAAAGACGATGAAAAGCTGGAGAGAGGAAAAGTGATTTCGCCAGAGCTCCGGAGGGCGATTCGAGAATCGAGGTTTTTAATTGTTTTTTTATCGAAGAATTACGCTTCTTCGAGATGGTGTTTGGATGAACTCGTGGAGGCACTTGAATGCAGCAACACAACAGTTTATCCGATATTCTATCATGTGGATCCATCGGAAGTGAGAAGGCAAAGAGGGAGTTTTGGGGAGGGATTTGATGAATTGGTTTCCAAACAGGGAGTATTGGGGATGGAGAATGTTCAAAGGTGGAGGAATGCTTTGGAGCAAGTTGGCAATTTATCAGGATGGCATTACCCCTGTGATACCATCATCAGGTAACTTGCAATTAGATACAAAATAGGGAAAACGTTCTTCGCTCATATTATTACCTGTATTGGATACTGGCTCATTCACAACAAACTTAATATATTCACATTTCATCCAAATATATATATTATAAGTAAAAATATTGGAATTTCAAGATTAAGGCCAAGTTTGGCTACAAAAGAAAAAGTGCACTTATTTCATTTTTTTATCTTTTTTAGGTCACATCAATCAACATCTCATCTCTACTTTTTCTACACATAATACAAAAAAAAGTAAAAAAGTGCACTTATTTAGTCTTTCCAAACTAGGCCTAAAATTCTCAATTTAATTTTTTTTATATTTTTAAATTTTTTAACACTAAAAAAATACGTGTCATGAAAGGACTGGGTTTCATATTATGATAATATCCCTTTGACATTTAATTAATAGAAACTAAATTAAAGTAAGTTTTAAAATGAAATACTATGCCATTATTGTTTATAAATTAATAAGAAATGTTTTCAAATTTTTTTACAATATAATCTTTTTAAAAATGCTTACACAAAAAATAAATTGAGTTTTTAATTTCTAAATCCTTCTAAAATTGTTTATACAAAATATAATTTGTTTCTATTTTTCTTATAAGAATATTAGATAATTTATTTTTAAATTATGTTTAATCATTTCATTAATTATGACATTTTTTTTTCTTCCCTAAATTACCTTACCATTTCAGAATTTTATAAAATATGTCTAGAAACTAATATAATTATTTTTTTCTTTAAGTACCACTATTATACTAGTCTTACATTTTTATAAATTTTTTAACAGTTTTTCTTTGAAATGTTTATTGTTCATAATAATATAGTAAGTTGAGATATGCAATGGTTTGATCAATTATATTAACTTAATATTACAATATATCTAATAAAAAAATAAATGCTATGATTATTTTTATTTTTTTATTTTTTTGAGAGTGAAAAAAATAGAACTAATTATTTTATATACGACCATTTGTTCTTTATAATTTAACTATTTTAGAAAGTAAATTTTGTTAGGTGTTGAATGTTAAAATTTTCAATCATTTTTTCTCATAGATATTGAAAATCTTATTAATTGTGACCCATATTTATATCTACTAACTTGGTGTTTGGAATTATCTACTAATAAGTTGGCAATATATCAGGATGCCATTACCCCAGTGATTCCATCAGGTAACTGATAATTAGCCAAAACTCACCTTTTAACTCATTTTTCACCACATCATTTTTTATATTTTTTACATTTTTTTTTAAAAAACAAAATCCAAAAATAGTCACCAAAAAAAAAAGTTTTAACTATTTTCTCAAATTAACCTTAAAAAAAATAGCATATGAACTGCACCGGCTAAATAAATGATTACAAATAATTTTAAAATTGAATAATAATATAAACTTTATTTTAAAAATAGAAAAATAGTTTAAAATAAATTAAATTTTTACTATTTTAGTAGAATATATATTGGAATCGTTATGTCATTAATTATATATTTTAAGTTGATAATAAGAATAACTGTAATAATTTAATTGATTAAGATAAAAAAAATAGAATAAATTGAAAAATACATATATTTATGATCAAATAAAAATAAATTTCGTTTTATAATTTTTTTAGTTTTAGTTTATTTTATGTTATAAACAATATATATATTTTGATAATAAAAAAAAAGACTAATCAACTTACATAATTAATTAAATTTTTTTAATTGAATTCAATTTTAAAATTTAAACTATTTTTAATTGAAACATGTACAATATTACATGTGAACATAAATTTACTTTATATAAATAAACAACTCCTCTTTTTTTTTGGGGGGATCTGAGATTGTGTATAAAAATTAACAATTGTTCAGGCGGAAATATCAATCATTTAATCTTTAATTAAGTTTTTTTCGAATCAAACAAATCTAATAAATATATTTTGATAAAACCACTAAGATTGTGGTTAAATCAACGAATTAGGAAACTGAAAACGATTCAGCCTAATCGGTTAAGTCAAAAGAATAACCAACTTATACAAAAATTAATTACTTAAACTTTTAAATGTTATTTAATTTTAAAATTTAAACTGTCTTGAATTTAATTATGCATAACACTAAAATATTAAACGGGAGCATAAAGTTCATTTTATATAAGTGAACAATTCAATTTTTTTTTCTTGATGTGGGATTATAAAATAAAAATTAACAATTGTTTGAGCGAGAAATTTATTTCTAATCAAGCAATCTTAATCGTCAATTTTAGTTTATTTTGAATCAAACAAATCTAACTAATATATTTTGATAAAACCGCTAAAATCGCAGTTAAACTAATGAATCAATCAAACCAAAAAGAGCTAGGTCAAAAGACTAACCAACTTACACAATAATCAATTAATTAAAATTTTTAAATTTAAACTATATTGAATTGAAACATGTACAACACTACAATATTAAATAGGAGTATAAAATTCACTTTATACAAGTGAAACAACTTATTTTTTTCTTCTTTTCCCGATGTGGGATTATCAAATAGATCATAGACTAATTAGAGTTTTATTTTTATATGATTAAATAGAAACTAATCAAAAAAAAAATAATTAAGAAAATTAGTATGAGCTATTGAAACTCTCACAAGGCTTTTCACTAAAATCCCTCTTTTGCTTATATAATATATAGATCCCTCTTTTGCTTATATAATATATAGATTATGAGTAATGATATACGTCTCACAAATTCATTCAAAATAATGCGACAAGAAAATTGTATCATTGTGGGTAAATCGTGACAGTTGACCACATTTTTCAATATACGAATATATTAATTTTGTATCAATATACGAATATTGATCTTGAAACATCTCAAAAAGTTAAATTCACATATATTAATTTTGTTAAAAAAAGATTTGTAGAATTAAACTTATTAGATTTAAAAAAAAAAATAAGTACAAAATATACAAAAAGTAAAAATATCAAAAATTATTCTTATCACCGTATATTTGGACTTAGGCCTCGTTTGGAAACATATACTTTTTTAGTAAGTTTTTAACTTTTTAGCTAAAATACGATGTAAAAGAAATTAGTATGTTTGGGATGACTTTTTACCAAAAGATGTGCAAAAAGTAGAGAGAAAATGGAATCTTTGACTTTTTAATATAAGTTGTTAGCTCATTGATTTTTTTTAATAACTTTTTGGCTAAAAAAGTCATTTGCCAAACGAGGCCTTAATAAGGAAGTGCTATGTGTCCTTGTAACCATCAAAGTTGTCCTTCCTTTCAAAACAGTTTCACCAATTTTTCCTTAGGTTTATGCAGATATAACTATAAAATTATTTAAAAAGAGGTTGCAATTAGGTAACTGATAATTAGATAAAACTCGTGTAATGATATACATCTCACAAATTCTTTGAATCGTTAGGTAACTGATAATTAGATAAAACTCGTGTAATGATATACATCTCACAAATTCTTTGAATCGTTAGGTAACTGATAATTAGATAAAACTCGTGTAATGATATACATCTCACAAATTCTTTGAATCGTTAGGTAACTGATAATTAGATAAAACTCGTGTAATGATATACATCTCACAAATTCTTTGAATCGTTAGGTAACTGATAATTAGATAAAACTCGTGTAATGATATACATCTCACAAATTCTTTGAATCGTTAGGTAACTGATAATTAGATAAAACTCGTGTAATGATATACATCTCACAAATTCTTTGAATCGTTAGGTAACTGATAATTAGATAAAACTCGTGTAATGATATACATCTCACAAATTCTTTGAATCGTTAGGTAACTGATAATTAGATAAAACTCGTGTAATGATATACATCTCACAAATTCTTTGAATCGTTAGGTAACTGATAATTAGATAAAACTCGTGTAATGATATACATCTCACAAATTCTTTCAATCGTTAGGTAAATGATAATAGTTAAAACTTGTGTAATGATATACATCTCACAAATTCTTCCAAAATAATGTGACAAAATTGGGCATATATCATTAATTGTGTATCATTGTGGGTAAACTGTGACAGCATATATTCACTTTTGTGTCAATATAATATATATATATTTGATACGAATATTGATCTTGAAACATCTCAAAAAGTTAAATTCACATATATTAATTTTGTTAAAAAAAGATTTGTAGAATTAAACTTATTAAATTTAAAAAATAATAATAAGTACAAAATATACAAAGAGTAAAAATATCAAAAATTATTCTTATCACCGTATATTTGGACTTAAGCCTCGTTTGGGAACATACTTTTTTAAGTAACTTTTTAGCTAAAATACGATGTAAAAGAAACTAGTATGTTTGGGATGACTTTTTGGTTTTTTACCAAAAGATGTGCAAAAAGTAGAGAGAAAATTGAATCTTTGACTTTTTTTGTATAGGTTGTTAGCTCATTGATTTTTTTAATAACTTTTTGGCTAAAAAAACCATTTGCCAAACGAGGCCTTAATAAGGAAGTGCTATATGTCCTTGTAACCATCAAAGTTGACCTTCCTTTCAAAACAGTTTCACCAATTTTTCCTTAGGTTTATGCAGATATAACTATAAAATTATTTAAAAAGAGGTTGCAACATATGCGATGCAAGATGTGATTAAAAAGAAAGAAAGAAAAAACATATTTGATTTGGAATGATAATCTTAGTGCAACTGAAGTAACTCTATAACATAATTTTATATGATGTTTAATATTATCATATTCAAAAAATAATTAGTTTGACCATAAAAATAATGATTTAGGAAACATTATAATATGTGTGTAAAAATAATGATTTAAGAAACATTATAAGCGTGAAATAAGTGTTGCCAAGTTTAATAACATTTCATAACATTAATGAACAAGAAAATCATCATCTAACCTTTGTGTTTGGATCTAGGGTTTGGACATGAATTTATGGAGAAAAGAAAAAGATAAGAGGAATGGTGAAAAAATTTAACTTATATTTCATTTGTATTTCTTGCATTTTTTCATTTTCCTCAACAAATCCCTACTAAACTCATAAATTCAAAAACAACTTTAACGTCTTAAAGTTGAAGGGCTAGAAATATAGTCTAACTGATTTGATGCGGTTTCTAGCAAACTAAAAGTTGATAATCGAAATCTCTTCCCTTGTTAGTAATAATTTATTTAAACTATTTCGAACTCATAAGTTGTAAACAAAAGCTTCATCAAACACTTTTACACAAATTTTTAAAATAAAAAATACTATAAACAACTCTATAAATAGAAATTTTCCTAAGGGTTTCTAACAACAAATTAAAGTAGAATTGAACAAATGTAGTTCAATAACTAATAAAGTCGATCAATTGTGGGAAAATTTAGAAACCTAATGTGCCATTCAAATTTCATGTTTTTCTTTATGATCATATCAAATACAGGAAAATTGTATTTATATGTGCCGTTCAATTGCAATGAGTAAAATTAATCACATTTTACCCAAATAATGACACTTTTCCTTATTATAGCTCTTTTGAGTTTTGATGAATAAATTTATTATTGTCCCCCTAAATCTGTAGGTCTGAATCAATGTTTATCCAAGAAGTTGTTGAGATACTTTTTACAAAATTAAATTGTACATATTCAAGCGTTGTCAAAGACCTAGTTGGGATGGATTCTCATATGCAGAAAGTGATTGAATTGCTAGGTTTAGGGATGGGTGATGCTCGTGTTGTAGGAATTTGGGGAATGGGTGGAATAGGCAAGACTACTATTTCCAGAGTTGTTTATGACTGTATCTCCTACCAATTTCAAGGTTGTAGCTTTATTGAGAACGTTAGAGAAGTTTCAGAAAAATGTGGTTTAAAAACTTTGCAAGAACAACTCATTTCTGAAATCTTAATAAAAAAGGATTTGAAAGTACGAAGTGATGCTCATGCAGTACATATGATAAGGAATATGATATGTCGTAAAAAGGTTCTTATCGTGCTTGATGATGTGGATGAATCAACCAACCTTGAAAAATTGGTAGGTCAGCTTGATTGTTTGAATTCTGGAAGTAGAATCATTATAACCACTCGAAATAAACACGTGTTTAGTAGATGTGGCATAACACATATTTATGAGGTAGAGGAATTAAGAGAAGATGAAGCTATGGAGCTCTTTAAATCGAAAGCCTTCGGTAATTACCAACATATGGAAGGCTATCAAGAACTTGTACGTCGTGCAGTAAAGTATGCTAAAGGAGTTCCTTTAGCTCTCAAAGTTTTAGGTTCTTTCCTTCGTGGTCGAAACGAAGATGAATGGGAAAGTTCATTAAACAGATTGAAAAAAAGCTCTCTCAAGGAAGTTCTACAAGTACTTAGAATAAGTTACGATGCATTGAAATCAGAAGAGCAAGACATATTCTTAGATATTGCATGTTTTTTCAAAGGGAAGGACAAAAATGAGGTTATAAAAATACTAGAAAGTTGTGGCTTCGACCCAATTATTGGAATAGATGTTCTTGTTCAAAAGTCTCTCATCACTATCTCAGGCAATAAGCTGTTGATGCATGATTTGATACAACAACTAGGGTGGTACATTGTTATCCAGCAATCACGTGAAGAGCCTGGAGAGCGCACTAGGTTATGGCGTGATGAAGATATAAAAAATGTATTGATGAACAATACGGTAAGACGTCTTATAGAAAAGAATAAACACTCTAAAACTTGTTTAATTAACAAAAGCTAGCTCTGCATAATTTTGTCAGCCTTTTAATATTGCGTCCTTTTTATTTGGTTGTGGTTGTTAGGGAACAAACAAAGTGGAAGGCATAGTTATGCAGTATAATAGCCTAAGCGGTCTCGATCCAAAGCACATTCAATTTCTAAAACAATTGAAGTTGAGGCCTGAAGCTTTTGCAAAGATGTCGAACTTGAGGATTCTCAAAATTTGTTGTATGCACCTCTCAAAAGACCTCAAATATATTTCTAACAATTTAAGATATCTTGATTGGTTAGGATACCCTATGAAATACATGCCTTCAACATTTCAACCAGAGCATCTTGTCGAACTTCACTTAACCTATAGTAGAATTGAACAACTTTGGGAGGGAACCATGGTATGAATATGCATTCTCTTTAATTACTTTGAATAAGATGCAAAGTCCTTGACACAACATAATTTTCGTAATTTGTTTCTATATAATTTTTGTAATTTATTTATATTTATATTTTTCTCCAACAGCATCTACGCAAGTTAAGGATCATGAATCTTAGTCACTCGACATACCTAAAGAAGAGCCCATACTTCGCCGGGGTCCCAAATCTTGAAAGACTGATTCTTAAAGGCTGTACAGGTTTGGTTAATCTTCATCCATCCATTGGAGTTCTCAAAAGGCTTATTTGTTTGAACTTGAAGGATTGCAAATGTCTCAAGAGTCTTCCCGACAACATTTGTCAGTTGAAAGATCTTGGAAAATTGACTCTTTCTGGTTGCTCCAAACTTGACAAATTGCCGCAAGACTTAGGTGTTTTGGACTGTTTATATAGGCATTATGCAGATGGGACTGCAATTAGACAACTCCCATCCTCCATTGGCTCCATTAGACGTCTGATGAATCTTCGAAGCCTAACGCTACGAGGGTGTAAAGGACTATCATCTAATTCATGGAGTTCTTTCTTCTTGCCTTCCATTTTACAAAGAGAGAGAGATATGGCTTCTGAACTAGCAGCTTCGTCAAGGTTGAATTCTTTACAGAAACTAGATCTCAGTTACTGTAATTTAAAATCTATCCCCACAGCCATTTGTCACATCGACTCTTTGGAAATTTTGGATCTAAGTGGAAACAATATGGAAAGGTTACCTGCACGCATGAATCAACTTTCAAGGCTGCGCGCCTTGTGGTTGAGTGGTTGCAAGAAAGTTCAAGAATTGCCAGAGATTTCATCCAAAATAGTTGCCATATTTGCTAAAAATTGCTCATCATTAAGAACAATATGCAGTCTATCCAAATACAATTATTTTTCCACGCTGCACTTCGACAATTGCTTCAAATTGATTGAGAATAAGCAAAACAACATCCTGACGGAAAAAGTTCTTTCAAATCGATTTCAGGTTCTCTTTCTCTCTCTGGCACTGTGAAGTGGCAACTCTACTCTTTAGCTAATTAAACACCCTGATTTTTATTTTTTTTAATACTAATACATATGTTCAACAAGTTCACTCATTGCAATTTTGAACACCCAGCAATGAGTTTTTTGAATTTAAAAAAATAAAAATCACGCAGCACTAGCATAGTCCACTGTTTTCGTTTTTCTTTGTATCTATATATATGATTAATTACAATAATAGTCCCTAAAATTTTATGTCCTTTTCATTTAAGTCCCTAAAGTTTTAATTTTGTCAATTAAGTTTCTAAAGTATTTAAGTCGAATCAATTTAGTCCTAAAGCCAATATGAAAATAAAACAGAAGCCTAAGGCTGTGATTTGTCCTTCATTATTTTCTTCTTGTTCTGTCATTATTCATAATTCGTGCAGACTATAATTAACTAGATCTTGGTTTTTTTTTTTTTTTGGTGATATTAATTCAAAAGATTCCTTTCGAGAGTTCCTTTGTAAAAACAAAGATAATTATATGTATTATTTTCTATATTGTTTAAATCATTAATAATTTAAAAAAATAATTACAAATCAGTGATAAATTTATAAATATTAATAATTAAAAGTTAAAATTTTTCATGATCTATAATTATTTTTTAAAATTTATAAATAATTATAAATTAAAAAAAAATTGCCTTTTAAGCTGCAGACTAGGTGTGAGTCGTATAACTTATCAAAAACAATTTACATGTTTTATTTTGTTGGATTGAAACAAAAATATTAGGGATAATTACAAAAAAAAAAATTTAAGATAAATGTTATGAATCTCAAATGATTTACCAAATTTTCTACTAAACTTCTCACATGGGTGTGGACCCACACAAACCCACATGTGTGTGGATCTCATACCCATATGAGAGGTTTGGTAAAATATTTGGTAGAATATTTGGAATCCCTAGCATAACTCAATTATAAATATTCAAAACTTTTAAAATTATGCCACATCATTTGTTAGTACACTAATTGATATACCAATTAGTGCATATAGCATTATTCAACGAGAATAGTCATTGGTGTTGGGTTAATTTTTTCCCATCTAAATATATATATATATATATAAATTTCAAGTACACCCCTGAATTTTGCTTAAATTACAGATTTCTCTTTGTACTATGAAAAATTATAAATAGTCCCTTGTAAGAATTTTTTATTTAATAAAGTTAACTGAAAAATAAAATTTCTAAATGTTTTATTATACAATAATAAAATTATTTGAATTATTAATTAAATTATATTTCTAACATCATTAAAAACTATTCATTGTGTTTGGTTTCTGAATTGAATTTTCTAGAAATTGAGTTTTTTGTTTTTTGTTTTTCATATTTTTTATTTTTAGTGAATATTTTTAAAATTTTAAGCAATTTTTTTTTATACTTTTTTAGATGTACCTTATTTAGATGTATCTAAATAGCAAATTATTTATGAAAAAATATTTTTAAAATACACAAAAAAAATGCACTGAATTTTCCTTTTTTTTGTTTTTGTTTTTTTGGTATTTAGTGAATTTTTTAAAGATTTTTTTCACAAATATTATATTTCTAAGTGTATTTATGTTAGGTGTGTCTAAAAAATTTAAAAAAATTATTTAAAATATTAAAAAAATTCAATGAAAACAAAAAATACGAAAAACAAACAAGTAGAATTTTTTTGAAAAATGAATTCTAAAAACTAAAAATAAACAGACTGATTAATTGACTTAATGATTTATTTATGAAAAGAGCCATTTATTATTAAATTAGAAATTTCAATTGGTGGGATATAATTTCCCCCACAAGGGTGATTTGTATTTTAATCAAAACTAAAGGGGTGTATTTCTAATTTAACCGCAAAAAAAAGAGAGATTAAATTTCTCTTATGTTCACTCTCAACATGAGAGAGTTAGAGGGGCTTGTGGGGCTCACTACGGGTCATGTTTTGATGATCAAAACCGTTTATGAAAAAAATTATGTCAATTTGATAATTATAATATTTTTATTTTATCATGTTTGTCGTTAAAAAAATAAATGATCTATTTTTAAAAATATATTTATTGTTCATTTTTTCAAAAACAAATACAAGAAAATAAAAATATTACGATTATCATATCAAATTAATTTTTTTATGAATATAAAATAAAAATTTTACAAAATAATTAATTTAAATTATTATAGTGAGGCTAGACCTCTCAAAGCAAACCAAAGTTTAAACTAACAGATTAACGAAAAGTGAAATGATAGATATAGATTTGCGGGGTGGGGCTCTTTGGCCCGGGTAGGTTTGGGGCAAGCTTTCCACATCGGTGGGGAGTTTGTGGGTCCCCCTCCCAAAAAAATGATAGATATAGATAAGTGTATTTTTTTTTTTTTTAAATTACACTTTACCTCTTTTATTATGTTTGGTTATTTTTTTTACTTTGATTTTTAATATTTATTTATTTTTTTACTTGAACTCTTTATGTTTTGAATTTTTTTCACTTTATTTCTAAAGTTAATTTCTGTTAAAAATTAGAGAGAAAATGATATATCGACAATTACATGGCATAAAAATATTTTATTATATATGACTCACACTTCTGATATAAACTTAAAGTCCAACATAATAATATATTTTTTTATGTTATGTGACATTGTAGTATTTTCTATCTAACTTTGAATAAAAGTTAGTTTTATGAATAAATTGAGAAAAACTTGAAACATAAAGGATAAAAGTGAAAAAAAATAAACTTTAAGGGCCAAAATAGAAAAGTAAGCTTTTTAAATATTTAACTATTCTATTATGTAAAGAAAGATCTTAAAGGGTAAATTATCATTTATCCTTCTTTTTTTTTTAAATATTTAACTATTCTATTATATAAAGAAAGATCTTAAAAATATAAAATTATATTATGAGGTGACTAAGGTTTGATGAATATTCTTACTATTTGAACAATATGTTTACATGGATTTTTTTTGGGATTATTTTTCATATAAAATTACTTAATATAAATTATAATTTAAGATTTTGAATGTGTACCTAACTTTGGGTTGGTAAAGAATGAATTAAAAAGAGCAATGGTAGAGGGCCCAAATTCTGTAGCTCAAATGTAGCTCAAATGGCCAAAACGACGTCGTTTTGAGTACAAAACAACATCAAAATGGCCAAAACGACGTCGTTTTGGCCATTTGAATTATAATTTAAGATTTTGAATGTGTACCTAACTTTGGGTTGGTAAGGAATGAATTAAAAAAAGTAAATTTATTAATTTGTTTATGTGACATTACTTTTTTACATTTTTGTATATGTTTTGTACAACACTGATTGAGAGACCAATCTCTATTGTACAGAGAGATGCGAGTCGTTTTAAGATTGGTTTTCCTGGGAGAGAGATTCCAAAGTGGTTCAGCCATCAAGGTAGGGGGCCTTCGATATCTTTTCAGTTGCCTCCGCATTGGTTTAACAACAGGTTCTTGGGATTTGCTTTCGCCGCTGTTGGATTCAGAAAGGATGAATCCGCCTATTTTGCTATTAAAATGCGCTGGAAGTGCTACGTTACTAAGAGGATCATCACATCATCAGATGTATTGATTTCATCTGTGAATTTTGGAAATATTCTGGTTGAGGGTATCCCACGCGGTGCATTTTTGCCATTCGCGGAAGATTGCATGGAGGAATTAAAGGAGGGTGGAATTGAAGTTGAAGTTTCTGTAAGTAACATTTTTGGGGTGGATACTGTAAGTAACCTCACATTGGTCGAAAAGGTCGGTGTCCATGTCATATACAAGGAAGCTGAAGAACAAGCACTGACTAGTAGATACAACTCTCAAGATAGCAACAACATCAACATGGATGTTTTTCATGGAGATTTGGACAGATCAGCAGGGGTACAAGTTGGTAGTAGTAGTAGTAGTGCTACTACATCAAAGAGAAGACGCGACGATGACCTCAACGACAATCACTACAATGCAGCAGCAGGAGCCAGTGGAAGTCCTGGAATTGATGATCAAGAGGACCACCTCAACAACCTCAACAGCAAAAGGCTTAGGTAAGTATCTATCTCAGTTTCCTCCAAATAAAAATGTCTTCCAACTCAAGCCCCCACTGCAAATTATAAAATGAAATTACAATAGACATAACCCATTTCGAATGACTCAAAATTGTTCTAATTTCAAACGTACTGTCTACTTCCTTAAAACAAACACAATAGTAATAATATTTACTTATGCTTTTGTGTCACCTTTTTTCTTTAGTTTTGTCTCATTGGTTTGGTCCCTAAACATATATGACGAAGATGAAGCATGGTCTTATAGTGTTTGGGGGTGAGATTAATAAAATTGAAATTTTGGGATCAAAATGACACGTAATGCATACTCCAGGGAGAAATGTGTATTTTATAATTATTCAGTTAATGGTTTAGAGGACCATTTAAAATTGGACCGATTTGACTTAGATTAAAAATTTTACAGATGAAATTGGCAAAATTGAAACTTGAAGGACTAAAGAAACATGGTAAACATACTTTATTGAGAATTTCCTCCATCAATTTTTCTTCAATGCTAAACTTTAGGGTATGTTTGGATGACATTACTAGGAATAAAAATCACGGGTCAATCTTATTCAGGTGTTTTGTTTGACTAGGAATTCTCTACAAGAAGATTATGAAATTTTAATTATTATAGGCCAATTTATTTATTTTACTCTTGAAATTGTTTACATTATAAGTAATGGGAGCAACACACAAACCAAACACAGAATGGGACACAACACTCTCCCCACCCCTTGTGAAAGGGTCGTGTCCCATTTTGTGTTTGATTTCTGTGCACATAGACTTATTGCTTTACCTAATTATGCATTGCTTATATATACATATATATATATTCCTCTTGCTTTGTAGTGCTTTTGTGGGTTTTTTTTTCCCCTTCTTTTCCCTTCCTTTTTAGGTTGGTTTGGGATTTTATCTTTTTTTTTTTCTTGTTCATTTGTTTCTTGGAGTTCTTTGAGGAGGCTTCCTAAATTGAAATTAATTGTCTTGTGTGACAGCACAATGATGACAGGCAGGCACATTTTTTAACTACTTTTTGAGACTAGCAACTCAATTTTTTATTTTTTTGAGACTTACAATATATAGAGAATTACATCTGGACAATTATAGTCCACCAATTTTAGAACTTCAACAACTAGCGTGGCAAATAGTCCTAGAATGGTGAAGCAACACCAACCCAATAATCAATCAAACTAACAAAGGGTCCTGTAAAGAGGAAGAAATGAATTCTACAATAAAGAGTCCCCATAATGAAGATGAAATTATCAATCCTTGAACTCCTTTTGAGACTTGCAAATCAAACTTGATAGTACTATTATGCAAGAACATTTAGGGGGCTTACTACTATTATCAACATTTCCAACCAACCCACATTGTCAGTAGCAGCCTTTGAGTTTTTAAACAAGCTTTTTAATTTTTCTATTCCAGTGATTATCTTTCAAAAGTTTTCTTTTGAACTAGTCAATTAAATTTAAAGGGTTTTTTTTTTTTTTTTTTCCTTCAAATTTTACAATGGTGATTGATGATTCGATTTATAATACATTTTCCAACTTTTTTTTTTCATTGAATCAGATGTGAGTGGATGTTATGATGGAATGACCATTCCATTCCATATTCATTTCAATGAACCAAACATTATCTAAATTATTTATAATAGGTATCTGCCTTTCCTGCATCATATGTAATCTGTGCCCATTCATGATTCCATAATTCAAGTCATTAATTTACTGAGATATGCAAAACTCATCCCTTTACTTCTCTTTTATTTTATGTTTCAGGTTGAATTCTGATTAACATTCATGGATATTTTTGTGAATATTTGCAAAAGGAAGACTTTGTTTCATTATCTCATACAATTGAAGACTTTTTTTTTTTTGAACGGATCATACAATTGAAGACTGTATAAATAGATTTGAAGGCATGTGAACTTTATTGGGATGTGTTTCTTGAGTAATGATGCTCCTTTTCAAGAAACTTTCTTGTGGGGGGACACAAAGTTAAAAAGAAATGTTCATATGTTCCTTAAAAAGAAATGTTCATATGTTCAATTGGAAGGAGGTGTCTACAAGCAAGGAACAAGGTGGGCTTTAGTTAGAAGAATTAGAGATGTAAATGATTGTTTGCTGGTGAAGTGGTGGAGGAGATTTGGATCTGAAGGCAATGGTTTATGGAGACGTTTGATTTGCAGCATTTACAGTGTTGAGAGAGGTAGATGGTTCCCATCTTATGGAGCTAACTCTTCTTTTTCAAGGATTTGGAGTGGTATTATTTCAATTGCTTTTTCCAATCCTAATTTACTCTACTTTTTTTCTTTTTTCTTTTTTCTTGCCAATACTGATGTGGTAGGTGATGGGAACATAATTCGCTTCTGGATTGGTAAATGGCTTGGCAGGAGACCTTGTCTCTTATGAAGATCTCTAAGTTTTATATTAGGTTTTAAGATGTACTAGATAAATATAATTAAACTGCTTGCTTACCTTAAAGTAAAAGTAGCTTTGAGTTGCATCTTTTGATATTAGGGACTGGAGGGACTAGTTTTTCTTGCTTGATATTCTTCTATTAATTTAAATTCGTCAGAACACCATAAAAAGACCAAACAATCTTTCAAAACCTCTCTTCTAATATATATCAGGTACTTTTTTTTTGTAAAGTAAAAACAAAAATCTTTACCTCACAATAGAAGTATGCCCAAGTACTGTGCATGATTGCTTTGTTTCATTGTCTGGTTCATTAAAAATAAAAACTAAAATACATATAAATTGACGGTTTTCATTAATGACAATCAGGTTGCACTGATGCTTTTAGGACTGGGATCTTCTTAGGTGGATGTTCTTAGAATGGTAAGACCGCAATTCTTTATTGGACGCTGTACATTGGCCCTTCGGATGAACTGAATGATGGCCTTCTTACTCAAATATTTTCAGTATTAGTATATTTGATTTCTATTTTTCATCCAATTATTCCAAATGTGGCAGGCAACGTCCTGATGGGAAAAGAGACAAGCTAAATTCTTGGTAAGAACTTTGATATTTTTTTTATTCTTTTTCTACTTTGTTCATTTTCTTTCCATTCCTTTCCTTCTTTATATTTTATTTTTTTGTGGGTTTTTCTGTATTGTACTTTAGCTGTTATTTGGTGTCTCAATATTTTGCATTAGTTTTCTTTTTCTTTTTCTTTTTTTGGCTTATTATAAAAACCTTTTCTTGTTATCTTATTTATTCATTAGCAATGCATGGTTAAGCTACATTGCTTAGAATTTCATATGTCAATTTGAATAACCTTTTGTCCCCAGAAAATGCCGTTAGCTTTTTTTTAGTAATTTGACATCTATTAGATACTTGCAGCAGTAGCATAAAAGTTCTGTGAAAATCACTTAAAGTTCCTAGCGTAAGGATACTTTTCTACACCTCCTGGATATAGGGCACAGTCATGGTGCTAAATCTGCTGATCTGTATGACTTAGCTTCTATTTGGTCAATCAATGTGATTGATATATCATGTTCGACTACAAAAGGTGAACAATAATTACAAGATTCCCAAGATAAAAGAACAACTTTTAATTGAACAAAATCTGCCAATGAAACTATTTCATTCTGAACTACAAATCAAAAGGAAGAGCATAGGAGTGTGTAATTCGAGAAGTGAGAACTGCTCTTTAAAAAAATTCAAGAAGTGAGAGAGAACCATGTTCCAGGAGCTTGGCCCAAGTTGTTTGATAACAGAGTAAATAGAAACAATTTTTGTATTTAGGAAGCAAATTCTAAATAAGCCACAAACACGGAATGGCAATTGAGTGATGGCATGCCTGTTGAGACACATATTCCATACCTATGATTTTCTTTATGGTTTGGCCTTGGATATATTGTCTATAGCAAGTTTCATCTTTTAATGCTGCTCATATTTGTAATCACTGGGCTGGTATAGTTGTTATATTCATTGATTTCTGTTATTATAACTGAAATCAGTGTTAGGTTTGACAAATGGCTTATACATTGTGTCCAGCAGAAAGCTAAAGTGAGGATGATGAAGCATAATGCTTCTGATCAAACTGAATCATGTTGGAATAATCTCTGGGGCAAACCCAGAGGCCATCAAAGTACAGGTATCAATAAAGAAAATTGCTAATTTATTAGTCCTGATGTTTAAAATTATGGAAAGGGTTCCCTGTAGCATTCTACTTATTATTCTGATATAAAAATTTTGTCAAGTACAAATGTCTGATGACTGATGATGAAGGATTGAGCCTAATGAAAGCTTCCCTGTAAATATTGGGGAAAGGCTCAACTGTTATGGGTTTTTTTCAGTGAGAAGGTAGAAGTTGATGTTTACAAGTAGCTTTATGCTTGAATTTGTCCTAGTTTAGGATAGATAGTAGAAAGGAACGCAAGGTTAATGCTGTGTGATTTATTTTCTAAGAAGCACCACACTCCAAGATTGGTGTTTTATCAATGTCTGATAAACAGGACACGGGTGTCAACGTGTTCAACATTCCACATGGCATTCAATTTTTTAATCTTTTTTGTAGAATACGCCAGGGACACTTTATAGACACTCGTGTCTTGTGATTGGACACTCTTCAGGACATCTTTATCGTTTATTAATTTTTTTTTCTAAATAATTTTAGGAAGCTAATTTGGTGCCAAAGTAAAATATATTGAAATAAAGAGAGAAAAGGTAGGGGGGAAGAAAAAAACACCCATATATGTATCCATATACCTCTCATATCTATGTATCCTAAATTTCTATTAAAAAAAATTGTAAATAAAATATATAAAAAATATATTTATTGTCGTATTCCTGCCGTGTTTGTACCATAATTTTTTGAGAATCATGGTGTCTTGTGTCTATGTCTATGCTTTATAGTTTCCGCACATAGTATTGTCACCAGTTTTAGCATTTGTAAAGATCCAAAGAGGCTAGAACTCGAGGCACTTGAATCTTTAGTGTTCATTGGAAATACTAAAATAAAAAATTTTGAAATTGTAAATGTGCTACACTAGTGCATTTAGTAGAATAGAAATAAATTTTCGCTCCTTGGATGCTTATTATTGTGGTGACTATAGTAAATTCTGTTGATGGTTGAATGGTTTCTGCATTAATACAAATCATATAGACGACAGAAATTGCCTCAAAATGTGGCCAACACTTTTTACTTCAAAATTTTATGTGGTGGTTGCAGAGGAGGAAGCAAAAAGGAGAGCATGAAGAGCTGCAACAGCATCTCGAAGATGGAGAGAGTACTCAAGAAGGGGTGCTGGTAAACCTCCCACCTTTAAAATTCAAGGCTGTGTCAAACAATGAAAAATAAACAATAAATTCTGATCTTCTTGATTTTCTATTGTTAGATGTAATTCATGTATTCAAAATTTATTTGTTGAAGACATACAATGAATATTTAGATTTTATGTAAGATGTGTAAAATTCATATTGATCACGCTGACTGTGTAACTGGGATTAGTTTAAGTGCAATGAAATTAGTAAATAATAAAAAATATGAATTATATAGAACTAGTATGCTATTATGTGGCATGTTCTTGCATGAATGAGCTATATTCATTTGGTTCTTGTTTGACCCTTTGTTTGGTTGTTGAGAGAAAACTTTGTTAAAGAAAAGACAACAAAAGTTTACCGCTTTTTAATATATAATGCTTTCTAAAAAGATGAAATATGAACCCGAGTGAATCAATTCCAAAAACTGTTCCTACTTGGGGACTGTTTTGGCTGTTTTCATTTTTTTTGGTTTTCATATGTCAATGTAGTCTGTCAATAAATAGATGTGGGTAAAACCATTGTGTACTTTTTAATTTATTTAATTTTAAGATTTAAACCAAGAAAATGATATTTTAAATGCGAGGAAAAAAATGCAGAGTGAAAATGGTAGCAGTTTTAAGTGAAATTATTTATTTTTTAGGATGGAATAATAATTTTCCTTAAATGGGTAAAATGATAACTTAAATGTGAGGAAAAAATGTTTTTTGCTTTTCATATTTTTTTTCTTATTTATTAATCATTTTATTGGTGTAAACCTTAAAATTAGGTCAACTAGAAAACAAATGGTAATATATATATTTTCATATTTAATAATTGATTGGACTACATTGACTTAATTATGAAAGTTGGATGGCCTAATAGAAAAAATAATTGTTTGAGGTTTACGCTAAAATGTTCCAAGGTTGCATTGAAAATTAAAACAGAGACAGCTTAAATAGAAGTGCAGGTATTGTTTCTCACATTCAGTGATTCTAATTGATGGTGCATGGCAAACAACTACTACAGATACAGGTATTGCATGGATATGCCTGAGTTCTGGGGGTCACAAACTATATCAACAGGCTTTAGCTGTGCAGCCTCTCCCTACTCCGTTGGCAGCTGAGGCAATGGCATATTGGGAAGCTTTAAGGTGGGCAAAGGATGCAGGGATTGAAGGGCTAACTATCCAAACAGATTGTCAAGTATTGGTCACCATGCTTCAGCACAAGAAGGAAGTCCAAGATTGGAAAATTATGTATCTAGTTAGTGATATTATTAATTATAGTAAACAATTTAAATATGTTAGTATTTGTAAGGTCGGAAGGAATGTAATTCAACCAGCACGTAAGCTGACAATTGATGTTATTAAGTTGGGTATCTAATATAATGTGATGATTAGTACTAAAAAAAAACAAAAAAAAAAAGAAAAAGAAAAAGTAAACATTGGAGGGTCATATTGAAAATTAAAACAAAGTTGGATGCTTTAAATAATAATAATAGCAAAAAAAACGTAAGCTGACAATTGATGTTATTAAGTTGGGTATCTAATGTAATGTGATGATTAGTACTCAAAAAAAAAAAACAAAAAAAAGAAAAAGAAAAAGTAAACATTGGAGGGTCATATTGAAAATTAAAACAAAGTTGGATGATTTAAATAATAATAATAGCAAAAAAAAAAGGTTTGGGGGTCACACTAAAAATTTGGTAAAAGTTAAAAGGAATAATTGTGTTAGTTTTACCCTTTATTTTTATTTTTTTGTTCTATTGTAATATTCGAGACTTGCTTATTATGTATCTACCTATATTATTCATAAAGACCAAATTTAGTGTTCTTTGAAATCAAAACCTTCGATCCGGTAAAGAAGACCTTTATCACTTGATTGTCATTTTTTTTTTAATCTGATGCGTGTCCCAACTACTAATTATATATAATATATTATAAATTTTTGATGATATAAGATTGAAGTTGATATTATATTTTATAAATAAAGGAATAAATTACTTGCGTAAATATGACTGAACCACCACTACTACAAATCAGCTTTTTAGGAACAAATTTATTCCGTCTCTAAAAGTGTAATATTTGTTGAGAAAAACTTTTGCCAAACAATTTTCTCCGTTGCCAAGTTTGTCCCAAATGGCCCGTCCGGAAAAGTCAAAAAATAACTTTTAGAGACAAAATTTTGCATTTGTCACTATAAATAGACTTTTAGAGACAAAAATATGTGGTTCTAAAAAATTTTGATTTTGAGACCACCAAAATTTGTCTCTAAAAGTCTAATTTCTCTAAAAGTTTAGTTTTTGGGACAAATAAAAGTGGTCTCCAAAAGTTTTAGTTTTTGGAACAAATGAAATTGGTCTGTAAAGGTTATAATTTTTTTGAAACGACTAAAATTAGTCTCTAAAAGTTTGATATTTTTATTTTATTTATTTACTAGCGTATGCCCGTGCCTAAAGGCACGGTACAATTAATGATAAGATTAAAATATAAATCAAAATTAGAGAGGAATGTATTCAAATTTATTAGTTTTTTTTTCTTTTTTCTTTTCAAAGAGTAGGTAATGAATTCACATAAAGGAAAAAAATTCCTAAACGAAGACATGAAGCACCAATTTATTAGTAACCCAAATAAATTTAAGGAACCCTCAAAATTAAGAACCTCCATGACTCCCAAAATGATGTAAACCAATCATATATTTTTATTGTTTTTATTTCCTTCCTGGACCAATCACAGGTGAGTGAGAGTTATAAAATTGTATTTTTTTAAGAATATGGAGCATTTTTTATATTTTTAATAAAAAAAAAATATCTTCCCAAGATAAATTGCACTTCCCCCAAATTGCAATCTCTCAATTTTCTCACCCATTCTCTCTCCTCTTCTCTATTACCTTAGTCTCTCTCCCCCAAAGACTGTAAAACATTAATCTTCTCAACTGTCTCTCTCTCTCTCCCACCGACTGATATCCCCCCGTTCCTCTCTCTTCTCAAATGAAGACTCTCTGTTTCCTTAAGTTATAGATGATAATATTAAATTTTTTAAAAAAATAATTGTAAACTAAAAATAGATTGAACAATTTAATTCTCAATAGAACCCAAGCATCATATTAAAGAATATTAATGAGTTAATGTTGTGCACTAAAATGATATGAACAATTGACAAAAAAATTTTAAAAAAAAATCAAATAAAACTATCCATTTGGTCTGCTTAGATGAACACACCATGAAATTGGATCAAGGGACTGGAACAATAAATCAAGGACCACAACAACATCCATCCAGCAATGTGTACATCAACATGTTTTGTAGATCAAAAGAGAAATAGTTGTATAACTTAATCAGCATAATCCACAAATCTAAAAGTAAATATTTGTAATCCACTACACCCTGATTGCTCAGTTTTCACTATCTACTTTGCTCACAAATGAAAAGCAACTTGGACTTGCAATTTCTTATAATGGTTTCATATATTTTACTGTAAAAGTAAACTTTATGGTCTACCATGTTAATTTCTTGGTACATCATTCATTTTCTTAAAATCAAACCTCAAGATTATCACCAGGTTCAATTAAAGCCGTCAGGACACAGTTCTCACTATAGAAATTTGGGGCTTTACATCAAAAATATTTTACTCATCCAAAACTTTTCATTTTTGTTAAAATTATGTGGACTTTTAACTAAGTCTTCCTCTTGGGTAGATTCAGCACTCGGATTGCACGGCTCAAACCCCCTCATATACTAACGGAAAAAGTCCTAACAAAATCAACAACAAAACCAAATTTCTTCATCCAAGATTTCCACTGTAACTATGAACATCTTATAATAAACTTTCACTACAGGGGCATGTCAAAACAAACACTAACTGCAGATGGGCAATCAAATGGATTTCTAATGTAGACAGTGATGAGCTGGGTACCTCAGGAACTTCATCGTGAGGGCAGTGACCAGCAGGACTGATCTCATAATATGGAGCTTCTGGCAGCCGTCTTTTCACCTGAAGACCCTACACAGGCTTCACCCATGGGTCTTCTTTTCCATACATGAGACAGATTGGTACATCGTTCACTTGACACCTGTGAATAGAAATGAACTGGTAGTCCATAATTTGGAGCAAGAAAAGGGAAATTTTACATGAATTACCTGCAGTAGTTTAAACTTTAACAATACGTACCTAGATAAAGCCTCCCAAAAGGATAGTTGTCCCCGAGGAGCAAACATAATTGAGACAAAGGATGCAGCAGCTGCTGGGTGTTGTGCTGTCTCATGGATACAGGAAAACACTTTATCAACCTCTGTTGAGTGATCTGCATAAACTTGCTTAAGCACCTCTGCAATACTTTCAGGATCACTTATTTTCTGCCAACTACAATCACATAAATAAAGCACTTGCTTAGTTAACTGCAACAATCAGACTCTTTTTTTTTTTCGAACTATAAATTACTAAATGAAGACCTGTCTTGTGTTTGACCACATAGCTAAAATTATGAGTTCACCACATAGCTTAAATTTTGAGAATAAAGATTAGCTTTCCAAGACACATTGACTGCTGCTTTTGAAATGAGGCTAATGAGAATAAAATGAGAATAAAATTCGTAATTTTGATGCTCATATAATTTCCTAAAATGAGAATAAAATTCCAAACCAATACGAAGGACTCACAGATGTCAATGAAATGCCACTGCAAAAATAACAAATGTCAATGAACATCCACCTAAACTACAGATGTCAATGATACTGGAAAGATATGAATGAAGTGCATGTAATAAAAAATTTAAAACATGAAAAAAATTTATTAAAGACAAACATAAAAGATTCAAAAAATAAAATTTAATTTGAAAACCAAATTTTAGCCATCATATGATTTATGTTCCACTTTAATGCATAGCCAACATGGTCATTAACCCTCTACATCTTCATAACATTGTTGCTTACACTAAAACATAAAAAGATATCATAATTTGGCATATGATGTACTATAAAATTTTCTTCTCAACTAATCAACAATTTTGAGAGTATGTTAGATGTTACTTGGATTTTATAATTGAAAAATATAAACCATCAAGAATTTTGTAACCAGACAATCTACAACAAAACTATTTTCATTTCGTAAAGCGAACTGAGTATTAAAAAAATCACTGAAACAATTTAATTGCATCGAAAGACTAACCTCCGAAGAACACCAACCAAATCACCATCAGGCCCAACCAATGCAACATGAATCGAAGCCCCAATTCTTTCTTTAGCCTGGTCATCAATGGCTA